ATTAAGCTCCTTAAATGGCAAATTTAACACAGTTTTCTAACTTACTCTAAGTGGATTATTTTATCAAAATTTCAATAGATGTGAGTATAAGACTGCTGATTTGCACATTTCGAAAGAAGCCAAAATTGCAATGCTTGCCCGTCAATGGGCAACTTTTAAACAAAATAAAATCCAATAATACAATAAACAAAAGTTAAAGCAGACTTAAAATGCTACAAGTCTTACGCATGTTTTTTCCAAGAGCATCATTGTACGTCTTGAGAGCATGTACCACACGGCCTTCAAGGCAAGCTTGTTTCTTTCGTAGCTTGTCCATGGCTTCCTGCGCACCCTGATTTGTTCCAGCTGTATGAATTAATGACCAGAGATTCTTTTCAAGTTCACGTGTCTGTATAACAATCAAATGAACAAGGTATTGGCTATAAAGCCACGTAACACAAACCAGTAACACCATCTTCATCAAGTGTACTTAGCTATAGTGCCAGAGCTTGTATTTACCTTAACATCCAGTTCGACGTGCTTTGCTTTTTCCTGAGCGATTTGCTGCTGTAGCCAGTCTTTATTGTCTGCTAGATTAGCCAAGTCTTCACAGGTTCTCTGGTCTTTGGCCTGATTAATTTTACTATCGACAATGGAGATTTGGTCCAACAATTCGTTTCGTTCAGCTTCAAGTTTTTCAATAGTTTTTCTAATGATTCAAGCGCCATTAATATTATTGCATGCATGTAAAGTGACATCATAAATTCAAAGTTTGCCACTTAACCTCTAATCCTTCATATAAAAATTAAAAAGGGGCACATTCAGAGATAATGGTTATTTAAAAGCTCATTATCAAGCATTAGAATTTACATTGCATTGTGTGAATTTGTAATGGTTAAGTGTATTCACTGATATGCGCTGATAATATGCGAAAAAGGTCAGCAAGTACTGTATCACAGGTCCTTACTTCATTTTACTCATTGCCGACTGCATTTCCTCAATGTAGTGCTGGCGGTCCGCCTGAGCAAGATGCAGAGCATGCTTAAGTTGTGTGTATTCAGCTTCGCGCTCAGCGAGTACATCCGCATCCGTTTCAACAGCCGATTTGTACGGCATTTTTGAAGGTCCCAAACACCACGATAATATAAACCAAAGTTAAATGTTCGGTTACAGTTGTGCTTATCCTAACAACGATATGACTCAAAACATTGGCACTATCTTTAAGTTAAAAAAATGCATTAACAAAGTAGTGCGCACACATTTCCTAACACATTAGCCTCGAAACTAATCGAAAGCACATATCTATGAAATAAATATATGAGTGTAAATTTACTTTAAG